AACGTGCCGAATTCCAGCCTGCCAAGGATGCCGAAGTTGCCAATTGGTTGAACACTGGCACGGTTCAACGCATGTTTAGAAGCCAAATTGCTCCGGAGCAGGTTCTGCGATGAGGCTGGGTTCTCACATGGAAACCAATCAAGGAGTCTGACAGAAGTCCTCAGAATCCTTCCAAGACCCAAAAGGCGAAGGCTAGGCTTGTAGTGCTGGGATACTTGGACCCAAAGATCACCGAAATTCCCAGAGATTCTCCCACGCTCAATCGACACTCAAAGATGTTGCTACTGCAATTGATAGTTCTTGCTCATGGACTTTGCGGTCATTTGATGTGAAAGCTGCATTTTTACAAGGTCGACCACAGAGCGATAGAATCCTAGGATTAGAACCAGTCCCAGAGCTAACAGCCAAGATGAACCCGCGTCCCGACGAAATTTGTCGTCTGGCAAAGAGTGCATATGGCCTAATAGACGCCCCATTCCTGTGGTTTCAAGCGCTAAAGGATCATCTCCTACTTTTAGGCTTTGAGCAGTCCCCATTTTGCCCTTGCACTTTCATACTACGTTGTCAGAAGACCCAAAAGCCTGAGGGTATTATTGGAGTCCACGTTGATGATGGCCTATGTGGTGGAAATTATCGCTTTTTAGCCAAGCTGCAGGAACTTGAGAAGGTCTATCCTTTTTGGATCGCATAAGATTGGCCAATTCACATTCACTGGAATTGACATGTTTCAACACCCCAAAAAGTCCATTACCCTGTCACAGGCAGAATATGTGAAGAAAACTCAACCTATCAAGGTGTCTTTGGAACGTCGGAAGCATGAGACTGAGAATGTCACCCCGGAAGAACGTCCGGCCTTTCGTGGTCTTATTGGCAGTTTACAGTATGCTTCAGTTCATACCCGTCCTGATCTGGCAAGTAGACTCAGTCATTTACAATCATCAATCAACAGCTCACCGTTGCCACACTCCTTGACGCCAACAAAACACCCCACGAAGCAAAGAAACATTCAAATGTATCAATCACGATTCAACCAATTGCGTGTGAGGATTTGCCAGACCGTTTTCATCCAAGAAGAACCCTGATTCACATACAGTCTGTGTCATCATGAGTACCCACAAGGAAATTGGAAACAACACGACTTGTTTGGTCAATCCTATCTCCTGGGATGCAAGAAGATACAATGCGTGGTTACCAGCACGCTGGCAGCTGAAACAGTATCTCTGAGCTCAGTCTTGGATCAATTGTCATGGATCCGATTATGTTGGGCATGGTTGATGGATTCTAATGTTCGATGGCAAAATCCAGAATCTGCCTCACGGTCTTTGCCTCAGTCCTTTTCTACTGCAACAATAAAGGCTCAAAGGCTACCAGAAGACACAGTAGCAACAGACTGTAAAAGCCTATTTGACCTTGTCACTCGAACAGCTCCACCAGCTTGTAGCGAATTCCGCACCCAACTCAATGCTCCAAAGATAAAAGACCTCCTCGCGGAGGGGATCCAGTTGAGATGGGTTCACAGTGGTGCCCAACTAGCTGACAGCCTGCCCAAAATAATGGATACACGTTTCTTGCGTGAGACACTGCTTCAAGGCAAATACTGCTTGAAGGATGAGTTGGAAATCTTAAAGGCCAGATCGGATGCTCGAACCCGCCTCACGTGGCTACGTTCAAACTGTCATGAGAATACGAGCCTGAAACCACCACCTTGGCAAAAATTTTGAAGTTTTGCGAGTGTGAATTGTATACCATGGCAAGGTGATTTCTCATGTCTTGCAGAAAAGATCCAACCTCCATGAAGTTCCAAGGTGGTGAACAATGTTCTTTCTGAAGCAATAGAGGCTCAGGTGCCCTCGTAGGAGCTGTGGTGGGAGGGACATTGCTTATTGCCATACTCAGGGAGCTTGGACATTTGGGTGGGGCCACCTTTTGCGATTTGGTGCTTTGGCTTTGGACTTCCTTCGGCGACCTATTGGCCCATTGTCTGGGGAAAAGCGTTGAGCCCGACCGGGATTGGGCAGGAGTTTGTGCGGCTACCAATTGCGACCCATTCGCGGCATATATATATATACACATATATATATATATTTGTTTGTTTATTTATTTATTTATCTGTTGATATTTACACACACATATATATGTATATACATATATGTATATATATATATGTAAATATACATATATGTGTAAATATCTGTGTATATATATATATATATACATATATACACATATATGTATACATATATATATACATATATATATATACAGATATATATACATATATATATATATACATGTATATATGTATATATGTATATTCGTATATATATATATGTATATGTAAATTTGTAAATATGTCAATATGTAAATATGTATATATGTATATATGTATATGCAAATATATATATATGTATATGTATATGTACATATGTATATATGTATATTTGTATATATATGTATATTTGCATATATGTATATTTGTATATTTGTATATTTGTATATATGTATATATGTATATGCGTATATATATATATATGTATATATACACATATATATATCTATGTATATATACATATATATTTGTATATATATATATAAATAGGTTATATGCATAGGTATATATATATATATATTTGTATTTATATTTAGGTTATATGTATAGGTATATGTATAATATGTATAATATGTATAATATGTATAATATGTATAATATGTATAATATGTATAATATGTATAATATGTATAATATGTATAATATGTATAATATGTATAATACGTATAATATGTATAATATGTATAATATGTATAATATGTATAATATGTATAATATGTATAATATGTAAAATATGTATGATATGTATAATATGTATAATATGTATAATATTTAAAATATGTATAATATTTAAAATATGTATGTATGTATGTATGTATGTATGTATGTATGTATGTATGTATGTATGTATGTATGTATGTATGTATGTATGTATGTATGTATGTATGTATGTATGTATGTATGTATGTATGTATGTATGTATGTATGTATGTATGTACATATATATATATATACACACTTATGTACATATGTATGTATATATATATATATTTATATATGCGTGTGTACTAGTACTGTAATACATCTGCAAACCTTGCATTGTGCCGCACGAGCAAGAGGGAAAGGCTGTGGATTTAGTAACTTGGATTCCTTTGGGGCGGGTAGAGGCCAAGCCGATGCCGAATGGCGGTGTTGCTCATATGGTTCAGATTGGTTCAGTACCCGGGTTTTTGCGAAACACAAGATCCGTGATGAAATTAGCCTTTGCAACCCAACAGCAGATTCCAAGTTTGAAGGTTTTCCAGCGTCGCGGTTCCATTCCAGTTTTTGGGCTTGGCGAAAAACGATGCACCGCTCCCAGACCCAGAGATTGAAACCCAACAGTCGTTGTTGGGAACAATACCACTCAGTGTTCCGTGAAATGCGCATCTCGTTTTGAAGTGGACAAAATCTGCCGTACAAATAGGCGGTAGCCTGTTGCAAGCATCCCTTTGCCTTTTCCACCATCTGCTGGGCGTTCGTTGGTGAGACACGACAAAATCAACCAGAACACTTCAAAGAATGCGAATCCGGATAGAAAATGTCGTTGTAGTCTCTCCACTAACTTTATTTGTCACCATTGATTAAATTGATTATCCCACTTCTGTATCCTGCGCCTATGTATCTCGCCCAAAGCGTTATATACTTGGGAGGAAATCCTGCACAACAAATGTTTGGGGGGCGTTGTACTCATGGGTTCCGTCCGCTATATGAACTGTGGGCTTGCTGCATCTATCTATGAAGAGTAGCAAAACATGGAGAACCGAGCTCGAACTCCCACGACCCAAAAACATCCCAACAGTATTGTCAAGCATACATGATAGTGAAAAGCTGGAACTTCACACTTAAATTTCAGTATTTGTTTTTTCAAATGTCCATGTTGGTAGTTATACAAATCGCCTTAAGCTGGTTGTTAGTCGTAGATTCCCCTAATGGTTGGGTGCTGTTCAACCTGAACATTTCACGACCCCTGATGTCCAAACACAAGTACCAAAATGTACCAAAGCTGTGTGCATGCCTTCATCCCAAGAAACAACCTCAGATGTGGATTCTGCAAACTTCTCCATGATGACATGACATATAACTGCAGCACGTCACAATACGTCACATTTTGGGCCCAGGTATTGCAATGACATGTTCACCTCATGCTTCATGGATCTTAGGTGAAACGCATCCTCACCATGTGCCCGCTCTACGAAGGCTGCCCTCAGAGCATCTACCTCAGCACACTCCATTGCGCACTGTCCACAGTTCTGCAATTGGTTACTATATTTCACATTTTTATTTTACTGTACTATATCATGATATATTACTGTTTGCAGATGTTTGCAAATGTTTGCAGCATCTTTGCTGTCCATGCATTATCATGCATTCACATGCTTTTGCTCTGTTGCTCCGCTGAGATCTCAGCCGCTGAGATCTCAGCGAATCTCAAGAGGATTAGCTTGAGAATGTGTGAGATTTTGCAGCAAAGTGCTGCGCAAAGGAAAGCAAATTCAGAAGTGCGTGTTATTTACAGTAGTTCCTTGTTTGGAATCGAATTGACGAGACAAGAAACGTTCAACGAAGACTGTTTGTCTAGGTTACAGGTTACATTAAATTCCAGTTCCTTTGTGCTAGTTCGTGGCAAAGCATCCAGGTTTAAAGGATCTAACACGTCACGACACTTGCAACACACGACAGGCGCTAAGTGGTAACCAAACTTTTTGCTATATCATTGCCAATCCATCACGACGTTGATACAAGTTCATGGAAAGTTACATTCTAAAGCGTCTACCCAAACCCAAACCCCATGAAAATACATATGTCAACTGAAGCAGTTGTGTACAGAATGTATCGAACCATCATCTTTTCCTCTTGAGCCACGGTGTCTTTCAGAGTCTCTGAGGCCTGTGCGCGGATAGAGCACAGGCTAGAAAGCCTTTTTGTCCTCCTCATCTTCATCCTTGTTGGAATTCGTGAGAAATTCGAAGTTTTAGAAAAATAAAAATAAAAAATAATAAAAATATAGAATCACATGTGAAAACAATTGGAAGAGTTGATACTTCAGCAGAGATGCCTCATCTGGCAACTTAGGCATTTCGAACCCGAGATCGCTCATCACTTTGATGATTCTCCTTCACGCGCCACTAGACTGAGGTTCAGGTAGAAACAGGGCGTTCCAACAACATTGCCAGTACATATGACTGGACAAACCCCAGGCCTCTCATCTGGCTCGGCCTTGATTCTGATGAAGCCTTCCTTTGCACGATCATTCAGTGCCTTGTCAGGTAAATGATGCAAACAGTTTACACGTTTTGGCGACCAACCAAGAGCTACCCCGGCGGCACATATGGCGTATGCTCTGAGAGCACTGAGATTCCCGGCCAACGAGTCAGCTCCGATACGCTGGCGTCGGTTCGCAATCGCTGCTCGTCCCTGCTCTTGCGCTTTTGCCTGGCAAGGGCGACAGCTCCATAACTGCATCCAAGCACCAGGAAACCATCCGGAAACCATCCGGAAACCATCCGGAAACCATCCGGAAACCATCCGGAAACCATCCGGAAACCATGCTTGCCTTGGCCTGCCCTTCGGCAATCTTCAGGACCAGGGCTTGAGTTTGAGCCTTGGATCATAAGCCATGAGTGTTTGTGTCTCAAAGATGTCCATTTTGTCCGCAAAGCTTCTGGCATCCCTTGATCTCTGAAGCTCTTCCCATCTGCGCCTCATGGATTGATGTTGTGCAGCAACCCCTTAAGACTGTTCCCCAAGTGTCATGTTGGGTGTCAGAAGCACACTACCCACAAGTTGCGAAGAGAATCTCAAGAAAGGCCTTTGAAGCTCGCCCCAGGTCTTGTACTTCACCTTCGGCACTTAGAACTGATGGAGATCCGATCTGTAAAACCCGACTCTTAGTAATCCCCAAATCAAAGGGTGTTCCGTCGATGATTTCTATGCCATGAAGTGAATACATTGGCATATGGCTTTGAGTCTAGCCTCTGTATAGTATACATAATACATATATATATATATGTATATATAGACATATATATATATATACATATTGATTATATATGATTATATAATATATGCTTGTGGCACGTTCATAGCAGCAACAGCAGCACACAGCAGCAACGACAGCAGCGACAACTTCATCAGCGCCCAGGATCGTAGTCGTAGCAAGCTTTCCGAAGTCGCAGTAAACTTTCATAAACTTTCCATATCTATTATATCCCTCTCTGCTCACTGGGATACTACGTCATTGTTGTCAGCAAACACCGACTCAGCGCTGAAAGCCGCCTCTCTGAAGGAGTGAATGTCGTTGGCACATTTCAGTTTCAAGGCTAATCGCTCCTGCGGTGAGTTGGAAGACCAAACAGGCGCTTCCTTGTGAGGGCTGCGTTTATCTGCATTTGCTGCAGTACTTGGCAAATCATCCAATAATCCAGCTACTTCCACAAAATACTCTATGTGCCATAAACCAATAGCGACTCAGTTGACAATAAACCGCCAAGCACCATTGAACCACTTTGGCGATGAAGAATTGAAACAAAATGTCTGAATATGCCGAATCGAATTCAAGGACGCGCCAAACCGCTGGAAATTGAATGGAAATCGACGTAGTGTAGTCGCAAAATAAGGAAATCCAGATTCTCAAGTCAAGGGCATGTGTTGGGTCACCTGTGGGGCCAAAAATCATCAAAAATCAACTGAGCAAAGACTTGGACAGCTCTGCACCTCTGTTCTTTGTCTTGCAGCTTCTTGCCGAGCCAGCAAGTCAGAGTTGTTCTGCAAGCAGCGGCAAATCTAACGACACGTTTCGCAAACCACCCTTCGCCGCAAAGGAAAAACGAAGAGGAACATGCAAAGAGAAAGTTTAAGGACATGGTCCATGATTCAGCATCCATAATCCACGTTCCAAATTGCCAGTCTGCTCTTGAAAACTTCACATGTCATGATGGGTGCAAGCTATCTGCGCCTGCGCGCGAGTTGCCATGATTCTGTCATGGTTTGCTTTCCACTTGGTTTGTGCCTTCGGAGATCGCGTTGCCACTAGGGATTATCATGACAACTTTCACACATAGCCCTCGCCTGCAGCTTGAAATATGTACTACAGTTTATCTTTGCATGATTGATTGCTGTCTATTTCGTGTGAGCATCCAAGACATTCCAAGACCACTGAAAAACATGGGACACATAGGCCATCTCTCAAAACCAGGCCCTCATGGCCAGCTCTATGCAGCGCCTGCTTGGTAAGAGCACCGGCAGACTTGGAGCGGTTTTTTATGAAGTCTTGCCCTGCCTTTCGGTGCTACGGTGCTGATCTGTCAAATCTGTCAGATCTGTCAAGTTGGCAAATTGGTTTGGCCATGTACCCGCATCCAACTCGCCATGTCAGTCGAGTCATCCCCTGTCGGTAGCCTGAACGGAGCTGTTGAAGCGTTCCTGGATCAGAAACACACATCGTGACACATCGTGACACATCGTGACACAGAGATTTGATCATTGTACACACAACAAAGAAACATAAAGAAACCAAACTTCAAACTGACCAAAGTTGTGCGTTCCTTGGCACCCCATGTTTGAGCCCCCAATCTGTCCCAACTGTCCCAATCTGTCCCATGTGACCCATGTGTGAATCTTTGGAATGTCCGTGCTGACATCAGGACGCCTGGAACTTGGCATGATCTTCATGTTTTTTGTCCCACCATTCCTTCACAGGCAGTGGCAAAATTGGCAAAGATCCGACGGTCCTACGGATTTCGCAAAAAAAAACAACTGAAACAAATTGAATACAAAATGCTGCCTGATTTTGGGCGTAGATTCGAACCTGTCGCTCCTGGAATTTCGCCTAGCACAGTGAGAAACAGTGACAAGTGCTAATGTCATGGTTTCTTCCACTGCTTTGTCCACAATTATCGCATCCTTCAATTTCGTGGGATCGCAATTGTTCGTGACTGAGCCCTTATCCCATCCCATCATACTATACATATATCTATATAATTCATTACAATTCATTACAATTCTATACATCATACCGGTTGGTAAATGGATGCCATCAACAACGGCATCATCAATGGCTCAATTGATCATGGTTCCAGATTCAAGCTACCTGGACCCACCGCCAAGGCACACGTGATTCTTCAGCCCTTCGCTGCAACTCGTCTGCTTGTTCTTGTCGGCGAACCTGCGGGGAAGAGATCTGTCCGACTTTCTCCAATCATTAAAGATGTGTCGATCATGTCTTTTCCCCATTCGGCGTTCCGCAGCTTGAAATGGTCTTTCTGCCTGAAGCCGCTCTTCCGCCGACCTATTCGATTCTTCAATGCTTTCGAGAAGCGCAGCTTCCCTTTCCAGAGCCTTGCTTCATCGAAATTGACCAAAAATGCAAAGTTGCTGCAACATACAACAACTCAGGCCCTTCAGTATATTTAGATGCGCTCGAGATTCGGAACTCGCCTGGTCAAAGCATTTCTGTCTTCTTCTTACGCCATCCTCTATTGTGTCCTTCAGCCCGTCCTCGCAGGATGCATTAGTTGTCGCGTATTTGCTACCAATGGTGGCAATCAATCCAGAAAGCTCAATAAACACATTGACTTCAATGAAATTGTTAAGCTCTTCTCATTCTTCTCCAATCTCGTTTCCACATGTTTCCACATGTTTCCACAGAGTCAAGATTTTCATTACTCAGAGAAATCACTGGACATCACTGGACTCAGACCATCTCAGATCGTATGCCACGGCCTTGGAGTACATCTTCGTGCGCGTTGCTCTGGCCTGGACGCTGGGTTTGCTCTCAAGAGACAGCAGTGAGAACTGGGTGATGACGGCAGTGTCGCCTTGTCAATCCTCGACATCAAATCGTCATAAGTGTCATCTTCCCATCTGGCTCTGGCATCGGCAGCTTTCTTCACTTGGGATCTGATCATCTCCTGCAGGATTTCAAGAGTCCACACAAAGGTTCAAGGATTATCAAAGTCCCTTCCTTTCAAAGATTACTTTGCCAACGATTTGCGCGAAAGTACTGCGGAATATCGATAGATGGTCACTTGCACTGTTACACTGAGGTTGCATAGTCAAGGCAGCAAGTAATTTCGAAGGTACAGTACTGAGTGTTGAGCAAAACGTTCACAACAAAGGGATTGATACATGTTGATACCAGCTCTCCAACCACACGTTCTGGATGCTGAGAGTGCACATGGCACGAATCTTGGATTCAGAAAGATCAAAACATTCTATGTTTACTTGGTCTTCGTGATTCATCAGAAGTACATCTAGACTACTCGGCAGTTCTCAAGAAGCTTTGCCTTGCCTACCAATGATGTGAAGCTGGTCCTGCTTTTTGTCTGCTAATTTCTTCTTCTCCGCTATAGCATCAGCCTGCACTGAAAGCCATCCCCCAAATCCCAATAGTTTCAACAAACAGCACGTGAAGGTGAAATCAATATCAATCAATGTCGGAGAAGAGATCCACTGCATCCACTAGACTTTCCGATTGGTCAACCAATGGATGTACATGAGGCCGGCTCAAGTCCGATCGTCTCCGCACCTGGGCTTTCTTGTAGTCTTTCAGCCGTTGCTCAAGCGCCGCAATCTGGCAGACAACAAACTGAGGTGCTCTATGAAAGTCCAAGACGTACTAGAAGGAGACGCAAAATGCAAGGAGTCTACATGCACTGCAGCCTTTCGATCTGCTTCATCTAGCCTCTTTTTCTCCTCAAGTGGAAAACAGAAGTGAGCGCTTGGAAGTCACAACATTCTCTGTCTCAAGTATCACATGTTGGAAAGTCTGCAAATTAAGTCGCCAGCCATCAGGAAGCCCGAAGCCAATAGAGCAGCTTTTCTCTGCTGCTCATCCTGAAAATGAGCAAGGACAGTTCAAGCACTTGTAATATTTGCCGAACAGAATGTCTCCAGCCTTGATCTTCTGGAACCTGAGGTATTGCAAATGAAAACAGCGACCCTCATAATGCCATGTTAACAGCTGTGCGCGCTCGGTGTGTTCTTAGCACTTCCTTGCCCTACACATACTAGTAGGAAGAAGGACATTGCGGCGAAGAAACGCTCTTTCCCGCATTTCCTCGAAGTCTGCCATACCATCCAGGTTCTCAACCTTTTTTGTTCCAATCTACAAAGGGTCAAAGCATATGCCATAGGTATGCTGCAGGTCAACAAGCATTGTTTCACTTTGACTAGTTTTTTTTGTGTTACTGCAGGTTTGAGGTTCAGCGTGACAAAACTATTGTCTTTCCCAAAATCGCACAGTGACACAAAACCTCAGTTAGCTTTGGATCTAAACTTGCCGGGGGAGCTGGAGGCAGGTCGTCATCTACCACCTGGCAGGTATTCTCATGCATTCCGCAAAGTAGGATAACATCAGAATAGCCTGTTCTAGTGCTGCGCACAGAGACATCCAAACAAACAGTTTCATTGAACCAGTGTGGTTTCAATGTAGTTACCTAACATTCTCTTTTGTCTTGTGGAATTTTGAAACATCAAGTTCGCCAAGAGCACCATGCGAACGCCCTCACCTGAAGCCATCAGTCAAAGTTCAAGCGTCAAAAAACAGGTTGTCGCCATGAGCCCTCATCACACCATAAATATGTAGCGCTAAAAGGCATCTAGATAGCATCTTGTAAATAGCATCTATATATATATATTAATAGCATCTAAATTCACGGAATTTCTCTATGCCATTTGCAGAATCTGCACTCCTCTGCCCGTACTGAGCCAAGTCACCAAGCTTTACTTTCAGGACCCGCCGGGCATCGTCATCGGACAGGACTTGGGGGCATTCGGCAGTCGGCAAATGTCGCAAACAGCTGGGCGCGGCCAAATCAGTTTGAACCAGATTGAACATGTTGAACAAACTTTCTGAATATCTTCCAGTGTTCCACAGCCTTGAGCTCTGAGATGCTCTGAGGTTCAGACATTGAAGACGTCTCTGTACCTCCAGCAAACGAGCCCTCCTCAGGCCCTGGCACACCGATTCCAGGGAGACGACTAACATCGAACTGTTGAACCGTCCTTCCTTTGGAGTGCTCCAGACCGCCAAGTAACGCACACACACAGACACCATTTGCAATTTGCCTCCCAAACTTCCTCTCGTTCTTCTGCAATCTTCTTGGCCTACCGCAGCGCAAATTTGGCAGTTTTGGTGATATTAAAGCAGAGTCTGGGTGAGATTTCAAGAGAACCTCACCAGCCGACGGGCACACGACCGGGCGAACCTTGTTTGGATCTGGAACCTTGTCAGTGACCTTACGGTCTCAAGCTGACAGCTCAGCTGCTCAGGGACGGCAGCAAGTCCAGTGAATCATTGCAGAGTCATATTTTTTTGATCCATTCAATCGCTGCCTCAATTTCGTCATCTTGTGAACCATCAAGATCCTGAAGATTCAATAGGATTTCACTTCTCAATCTTCTCAGATTACCAACACGCCGTGGCATTGCGCGAAAATGCGAGAAAATTGAACGGGTCCAAGTATGAAGCTGGCAGAGTTGAAAGCACGGCCCATGTTGGTCCTCTGTTTTCAGCCCAAGCCAGGTCATTGCTGCAAGCACTCTCTGAAGACTGTGCCTGCAATGCCAGATTTGAAAATCCGCCCACACCGCTTTGGCGGTGAAGGCGTGCTTATTGGGGGGCAAAACAGCAACACTAAATGCTCAATGACATTTGTTAGTATAGCAGTCGCTATATCAGCTTTAGCTGGGGGGGGGGCCAAAAACGGTTTCGCACCGAGACCAGAATACGGTGGTGTTTTCGACATTTTTCGATGATTTTTGGGTGTCTGAGCGCAAGAGGGTATTGAAATGGAATTTTGGGTCATTTTGGTAGTTTTCCGGCAATGGAAAAACGGCCAAAAATGAAAAAAACATTGTACATAGCAAGATTTTGCAGGGTTTTTGGATGCCAGAGCATTGAAAACACTGCAAAAACAAGTGTTTTGGACTGACGTTATAGCAAAAAACGTGTAAATTACCGTATGCTTGACTGGAAACATTACAAAAACACTGTCAAAAGCAATGTTTTGGAAGGATTTACTGCCTTTATGGCAAAAAACGTGTAAATTACCGTCTGTTTGACTGGAAACATTGGAAAAACACTGTCAAAAACAATGCTTTGGAAGGATTTCTTATATATATGTTGGAGTTGGCTACCGGCATTGGAACATGGAAAAATTGAAGAAAACACTGTAAATAGCGGTATTTTCAACGGTTGGGGAGATAAGGGAATTGGAAACATTGTCGAACATGATGTTTTCGACCGGTTTTATGGCGACAAAAGTGTAAAGTACCGTGCTTTGAAGGAAACCATTGCAAAAACATGGAAACACATTCAAAGAACACGGGATTTGGGGGACTATCTAGGCGTCGTTGTCTAGCTATTTGAAATTCCGCAGCTTGGAGAGCCTCCAAGGGAGGGAAAAGTGAAAATTCCATAGCTTGGGAAGCTGTCACGGCGGGGAAAAGTGAAAATTCCCTAGCTTGGGAAGCCCCCACGGGGGGGGAAAGTGAAAATTCCTAGCTTGGGAAGCCCCCACGGCGGGGAAAAGTGAAAATTCCCTAGCTTGGGAAGCCCCCACGGGGGGGAAAAGTGAAAATTCCCTAGCTTGGGGAGCCCCCACGGGGGGGAAAAGTGAAAATTCCCTAGCTTGGGGAGCCCCCATGGGGGGGAAAAGTGAAAATTCCCTAGCTTGGGGAGCCCCCACGGGGGGGTAGAGTGAAAATTCTTAGCTTGGGGAGCCCCCACGGGGGAAAACCACCCTTAGCCCCTCTCACGGACTGAAATAAACCTGCGGTGTGGGCGGCCACCCCACGCGAAGCGGGGTGAATATCTCAAATGAAGCAAGGGTCTGTTTCATGTCTATTCAAGTCCATGACAGTCCCGTTTCATCTCAGACTGTCTAGAATCTAGAAACCTTTCGTGGTTTTTATCGTCATGTTCACAGACCTTCCCCAAACATTGAATTGTGTCTCTTTCCCTCTACTCTACTCATGTCCTTGTCGACCTTGTCTTGCAAGCTCTCTACATATACTGTACTTGCGAGGAGAAACACCAAGGTTCACTTCAGAAGTCTTCTGCAACATGTCAACTTTGCATCTTTTCATGGGAATACTCAGCCTATTGAGTTGCTGAGTGTTTTCTACATAGAACTGGCTTATCCTGTCCCCAGCCTGTTCTGCGGATCCACAATTGCTTGAATCTTTGCCAGTCCATTGTTCCTTGGCTTGGACAAGAAGCCCGGATAGCCCGGATAGCCTGGCCAACCGCTTATCCATTGGCAAAGCCTAGAATTCAGCCAGGTGGCTTCCTTTGGCTCGGCCGAATGGAGCCTCAGATGATGCAAGATGCCATCCAATGCGAGGCCCGTTTTGGACCATGGAATCTCTCAAAGGAAAAACTGTTGGCTTTAAGTGTAACGCTCACTCGTGAAAGTGGAGTCACCAAGAACAAAAAATACAACCCATCCTTCTCCTTAAGGTGGCAGCCATACTTTCTGGATGGAAGGTGTGGCACCTGCACAAGTCTCACAATGAGCACAGCAGCTGCATCGCCTATGACCTCAATCTACCTGCTTTACAAATCAGCATCAGCACCTCTCCCAACATATCGTCATGCCTTCAGTAAAACGGAACAGAGAGATGGTGTTCTGTTTCCAAGCTCTGTTAGCTTTCTCTGATCGGTTATCCCATGGTATCCCCAATTCCGATTCTCATCCCCAAATTGCCATTTGGATTTCAGGGCGGTCAATTTTAGACACCTCTGACGCAGCTGTGTTTCCCAATCCGATGCTCTGTCGCGTCGGACCAAAGTGAGCAGTCTGGGGCTCCAGCACTCGCAGGCACGCCGCGGATTGCCCTTTGGGCCCGCTGGGAGCCGCTATAGCCACGGAGAAATCTCGTCGCTGCAATGGTCTATTTTTCTAAGCCGCAAGCCCCAAGCGTTTACTCATCCCATGAGAAAAAATGCATGAAATTCCAAGTCTAAGTCAAACTTTATTGCTGATGGCGCAGGAAGATCCGGCCTGAGTACCTTCACACCCAGGCCATCTGCGAAAGCTGATGGGTTCCTTAGATCGAGTAACGCACATTCCGATCACTTGCCAAGTCTGCAATGATAAAGACCCGGCGAGGAGGGACATCTCTGCAATCTCAAAGCTCTTTTCCAAGGTCACGGCTGGCACATACTCAAATGGCCTACACAACAAGCACTCTTTTTGGCGCTGAGTAAACAAAGCGTGAAGGAGCCGTGTAAGCGTTGTTTGATAATGTTTTAGGTATTTTGGAAGGAATATGAACATCTGGGCGTGTGGCAAAGGATTGGGTCTAGCATAGTGCCGATTCCACTTGGTGTTGAACTCGTTTTGGTGCATCCTTGGCAAGAAAACAACGGTCTGTAGCAGGCGATATCAACTTTGTTTCAACTCGACCTTTGAGCAAAAAGAGTCTACAAATCATGCATCTGAGTCCGGACGGACATCCAAGCAGCTGGCCCATTTCGGAGGTTCAATTGCCAATCCACCTTTGGTGCTGCACCAGAGGAGACTCGGACCAGTCCATTGCACCTCAATGCTCAGATTCAACACAAATCCTGGAACCACTTGGCTTCCCAATGCTTTCCATCACATTTCAGCTATGTCCCAACTCTCAGTTTCTTCGTGATTGACGCGTCAGGCCGGGTAGTGGCTCGTGACTTGTAACATTGTTCAACTGTTCGTAGGAAAATGTGCAAGTCATCTATTGCGGGGCTGTATGGGGCTGTACAGCCATGAGCCAAGGCGCATGTGGGCCGAGTTGGCAAAGTTCTGATACTTTCCCAAGGATTGGCTCCCACCTTGATACCTCACGACATCGGTATCCCAACTTTTGGGGGGATGGTTGGATATGGTTGGTTCGCAATGGGAACATCCAAGTTCCTCGCGGACCCTCCGGATGCTCCGGAGCCAAAGGCTCTCTTTTTGTTCTGCCTGAGATGCTGGATTTGCTGCAGTGAGCAACAGGCAGCAGATTTAGTTTTCAAGATTGCAAAGAAACCAATGTGGGGATGCAATCATATCACTCCCAGAGAAAAAGAATTATGTACTGTACAATGTATAGAATGATAAAACAGGCCGATTGGTCACAATGGGGTCTGTTCGGTATGTCCCACGGTCCATTCCTCTGCCAATCTCCGAGCTGTAGAGCTTTATGATTTCTCCCGGAGGTTCTGCTCTGGGCCCAGTGACTTTGTGCGAGTTCGGAAGTATGTAAAGTTGGTGCTGAGGCAGAAGTCTTCAACTGACACCACTGCAGCGACGAACTTATGGAAGCATGGAAGTTGATTGTATCTTGGATTCAAAATAATGGGGCAAAAATATAATTACAAATGTCGCATGTAATTGAAATTGTGCTTTGAAATCGTCATGCAAAACAAACTGTGGTTTTTTACCAAATGCAAACACTGCTGCCGACTGCCCATGCAATTTGCCAGTCCAAAGCATCACCTCGATCAGGCCTTGGGTTTCGGTCCTGGAACTTGCCGCAGAGTCAAACCCCAGTCCTCGGAACCGGTGAAAATGGTAAAAGGGTGCTAACATGTGCAAAACACTTAAGGCATCTTAAGGCACTTCAGACCTCTGTGTTGCACGAAGGCCTGAGACAAGGTCAACCTGCGTTCGGTTGCAGGTGCCGCTCTGGTAGACATGACCTTGGCCACTTCTATGCACTGCCCAAATCATGACGGAATCACCATGCTGCAAATAAATTACTGAGCCAATGATATGAGACAATGAATTCAAGATAATTCAAGTAATTCGACGTAATTCAAAGTAAATCAAAGTAATTCGAGTCTGCGGTAGTTCAAAATAGTTCAAATAATTCTTGCTCTTTCGAAGGAATCTATGGTTGCGACGTAATTGGTTGTAGTTTCGGGATGCATACCTCGAGGCCCGTCAGAAAATCGTCAGAGATGCAGCCATTATTCTCTTCACCGAAAGAAATGGCAGGAGAGCTGCGGCGCACAGCTTCTTTCCAATGATATCTGTGTGGATCCTGGCAGGACATGGAGTTTTTGGGCAAATTGCTGAAATCATCGAAGCATATCATGATGCTGGGGACAGCAACACAAGGGCCCCACTCCACTGGAACTGTTGACATTGAGGCTGCAAGCTATCCTTTGCTGTGAAAACGTCTGCATTGCTGCATTGCATACATTGCTTGCAGTTCTCTTGATGGGTCTGTGGAAGTACCATATGTCCAGCAGCTGCAATAGTGCAATTCTGATGTCCACACAAAATAGAAGCAGAGGTTCGGACAGGCGGAACAAACGCTTTCGCTTTGAACGCTCATGTTCTTTTCCGGGTGAAACTAAGCAGCAATGGCTGCGTTGTGACAGGTCGCATGATATCTCAATCAAAATCCCATGACAGGATGCTAGAGCTTTTGTTGGGCTCCATAAAAAGAGATAAGCGGAAATTCAAGCAAACGCAGGCAAGGTAGCTCAGATATCTCAGATGCAGTCAGATGCAGTCAGATGCTCAAGTGCTCTGTGTTTTGACTGATCAGGTTCGGTCAGTTCAAATCTGAGGCACTGAAGAGTGCCATTGCTTATGTTCGCAGGGAACCAGGCCGCACCATCGACACCATGGCCAACAGATGGATGTGTCGCTTCACACGTGGAATGGCGTGGACTTTCTGCAAGTGTAAATTTCAATGTATATGCAAAATTATCTAAATGTATAACTTGTATGATGTCTCTCTCTATATATATATATATATCTGTATATATATATATATACATATGCAGGTGTGTCCTTACATATAAATGCGTCAGGTCTAAGTGCAATGTGCATGAGTATAAGTTGATGCACTCTGCACACATCTTTGCAGGGGGACTGTAGACACAGAAAAGACATGTTGAAAACCATGTATGCACCTATCAGATTCTATATATGTGAACATGTCTCATGTTTAATATCATGATACATATATGTATGTGCAGGCATACATGTATGTACAAATACAATCATATATGTATATATGCATACATATGTGTGGGCTTGTCTATGTGTACTATTCTAGCACGAAGCTACATGTACGTAAATATGTATATATAATGTGATACGTACGCACGTACGTACGTACGTACGTATGTATGTATGTATGTATGTATGTATGTATGTATGTATGTATGTATGTATGTATGTATGTATGTATGTATGTATGTATGTATGTATGTATGTATGTATGTATGTTGCTTGTATAAGTATGTACCTCCGTCAATAAATCGACATAACAATAAATATATCAATGTCTCCGTACACAAATGGAAACACGTATGGGCAACGAGCTTTCAGAGTTCTTGTCTATGTTTCCAGACCAAGGAGTGTTCCAACCTCTAGTTGTTGGGTGGGTGGGTTTGAACAGTAGTTGTACTATAAAGATACGAGGAGCGTGAACTATATGTATATATATATACATACATATATATATATATACATATATATATATTGCATTCTATATATATATATTGCATTCTAATGTATGTATATATACACATTGCATTATAATATATATTTATATACGTTGTTTGCATTATAATATATATATATATTATTTATAGATAGTATGTAAATGGAAAAAATATCATAAATATATGCAGCGGATTTGCGGAAACCATCCCAAAAAGCCACGGTGGAGATGCAGCAGAACAGTCAGCACGGAGACCTGCTTTATTTCACAGAGCAAGAAGTCAGGACGAGTCGAGACGTCGAGACGAGTCGAGCCGTGACCTCTCACCACTCTTCAGAGGTCTCTGTGGCAGATCGATGAAACCCGAAGGGTGCTTTTCAAGCAGACACGCTGAGGCAGCCCTGTGGTCTGAGCAGTCGACAACTCGGAACAATCAACAACTCAGAGCACGCCACAAAAGCTCTGATGATGGGTCGCAAAATGCATTGATCAGTCATATTTCGATCGAGCAAAATAGCACATCTTCAAGAAGTGAGAAGACAATACCACTGTTTCCAAATGCCTTTTTGAAGTTTCGACGACCCATTCATGTGGTGTACGGGACTTGCACATGAAGATAGTATCTAAGCCGCTGGAAAGCACTGACAATAACCACACCAGGAAAGCATCTGGAACTTGCTGCTGCCTCTTTTTTTGCTTATCAAAACTGAAACAAGCGGGTTTGCCAGAGGCTCAAACAGAGCAATTGAGAGCACATATTCAGGGCAGGAACACCCCTTCAGTGAGCAAAGAGAGAAACACAACTGCACTTACTGCGAAGTATTACAGCAGTCAGCCCATTCGCAGTACTGCAAGGGCACAAAGCTGTCTGGGGGTCGCCAAACAGTCTAGCCAAAACAACACTTGAAGTTCACTGGTCTGATGCTGAAACCAGTACAACTTCCGAACCGGCGAGTTTCATCATCGTAAAATTCTGTAGAGGCCGCACCTTGCCAGCGACACAGAAGAGGAAAGTCTACGCATCAACTTGAAGTGTTTGCTATCAATGGAAAGAATTTTGCTACCAAGTTGCCGTGACGAAGAGTTTGCAGCTAGTCAAAGGTACATCTCCAAGTGCAATACCGCCATAGCCCTGTGCCTTGGTTCCCCATGGTTAGCCATCGTTTCGCCATGGGACTTCCATGGATGTCGCGACTCTTAGCATCGCCAAGGCTCAGGAACCTTGACTGTGACAATATGCACCCCGGCCTACCATGGTGGGCCCAATGGCCACCATCGCAGCTTGACCAAATGGGATGTTAATGGGCATGTTGTTGCTGTGAAAGAGATGGCAAAGTTACAGCAAAGCAGATTGGCAATGACTTGGAACAGTGCCTTCGAAGATATGTTTTCAGGTGTTCCGCTGATGATTCCAGTCTTGGCATCCAAGGTCAAGCCTACGCACCAAGTGCAACACAGAGCTCAACCGTGCACATCTATGCGCATCTTGTCAAGAGGCTACTTGGTAACATTTGGTGACATACCGTAGATGGATGAAATATTTAACCCCTTCTATCCGGTACAACTCCCCAAAGTTCAATGTTAATGTAATCTGAAGTGCATTAGCCCCAATGGACGAAAGAAATCAAACCCCTAACATCACTTTTCGTAACACGCACGCTGAAACATTGAGATTTGGGGGTGCGGGGGTTCAACATAGTGCGTGTTGCAGGGTTTGAATATTTTGTCCGCTACTGTATGGAGGTTTCCTGAAATGGGGCCCCCCCTAAATCATACTTGTTAATAGGATTTTCCATTATAAACCAGCCAGCTATTGGGGTACCACCATTTATGGAAACCCCCATATAAATCCATATAATGTAGTAACAACAACTGGACAACTTTTGATCCACTTGAAGTCCTTCTGAAGGGACCTGAAGGGAGAGCGGGTTGCACGACAAAAGCGAGTGTTGGTTCAAGGCAGCGTTGCCCTTCCGGACTCGCATAGGTCACCTTCGGGCCTCAGCACCAAATCTAAAAAACAACATGTCAGAGTACGGATGTGACTCTCTGTGTATACATGTATATTATATCTATACGAATGTATAAAGGTACAATATATAATAATAATATATATATAATATAATATATATATATACACGGTATATTACAAATGGGATCAAATGGGTTTGTCTGAAAATGGAGTAGCCCTCGAAGTCCATCGTCACCCACTAAGGGGCATCCAAGCTGCGGAGGCAAGTTCGAAGTCCTGCCATCAGCGTCAATGCAACGGGAGCACCTCGGACGGTCATGTCTCTAGAAGCCACACATCAAACTGTCATTTTTAAGATTTTTTATGTATCCTAGATAATAAGGAACGAAACTGGTTTCTTAAATATCATTGAAACATATTGAAACTTAGGAATCTCTCTGGAAAAGGAAAAATCATACCTTTTTGAGCTGATCTTCCTAGAAATCATGAGCAATCAATGGGAATAGGTAATGAGTTCTGAATGAGTCATGATATGTCATGATAATCTGTTATAAAATGTTATAACCTGTTATAATCATGCAAGTTTCACACTGTTTCTATTTGGGTCTGTTTAGTCCAGTTCTCTGTCGCGATCATTCTACGAGACCCAAGCTGCTGTCTTCGCTGTCCTGTCGCACCATGCAGCGTCCATGTCCCATACGCACAACCCACACAGGTACCATGATGACATGAAGTAAAGTCATGTAAAGAGTATGTAAAGTCACTATGACCATGAAACTTTATTGCTGAAAGTCACAGATCTCGGAGATGTTCATTGTTCTATACCACTCAGCACCGGTGGGACTTTTCAGGAACACCCTTCCTCGGAATTGTAGGTCACCCGGAGCATGCCATCGCCCCCGACCGAGAGTTGTTGCTGTGCTTCCACTACAGCACCTGTGCTGAGCGCCGTGAAAGTCGCCAGAGGCCGTTTCCAAAACACAACCCCCTACCAAACGGATGTACTTTCCAGTACCTGCCTTTGGAATCTTCTGCTTTCAGTTCCGTCTTCTCCTGTACTTTCGCCTTACGCCAACGAAACTCTGATGGACTGGCAACTTTTCCGCATAGCTGGGCACATACTGGTAGAAAATTCGCCGGTATCAGGCTTCCACAAGCTGCTCATCAGCCATCATAAACATTGTCCCCTAGTGCTTTTTGGAGAAATGTTCATTTCATCGTAGCAGCGCTCAGTCAGTACTCATTGCTATATGATTCAACACATGTCCAATTTGTTGTTATTTGATGTTATTTGGCTATCTAATGCATTCTAATGCTACACCTAACACAATTTACCTCTACCCGATGTATCCCGATGTGTGTTTCCACAAAATGTTTCAATCATCCCAGGGTGGTCCGGCTCTCGAATCGCCTCTGGCTTCGATGGTGGCAACTCTTCGATGTCCTTGCAGGCGTCCTTCAAAACCTCCTTGCCTTCCTTGCCATCGTCGTGAGATTCACCTGACAGGGACGTGAAGGGTGTGATTCGGAACTTGAGTCACTTGAGTAAACTTGAGTCACTTGAACATTTCAAGAATGCACGTAGATCACATAGTCTCACCAGCTGTGTGCTTTTAATTCTGAAGGTGCGGAGGTGCTGTACCACAGCTGTGCCTTTGGATCCTTTGGGCATGTGGTGAGTTTTAGAATTTGGCCATGTGGCGAGTTTGCAGAGTGCGCATGATGCGACGATTCTTCTTGCTGTTTTTCCTGGCAAAAAAAAATGCGCCCGAGCACCAGAGAATGCCTTAGAGCCTAAGGAGCTACTGTGGATTCCAAATGCTAAGAGTCAGTGGAAACACATGGAAACCATGCAACCGAAGCAATGTAACATCGAGCAGTCCTTGGGTGGAATTCGTGACAGAAGCAGCAATCTGCACCATTTCTGCATCCAGCAGCACTGAAGAAGTAGAAGGTACACTCCTGGCGCACAGTGTCATAGAAACGTATCAGTCCCCTGTCCAATTTAGTCGAAACATAAATGTAAGAGTAGTTTCACAGAAACTAATGCCACAATTATAGGCTATAATGCTATGATGGCTATCATTCTCTGATTTGTGGATTTTGTTCATGCTACAGGTAGCTGCTATTATTGCTATTATAGTGGATGCTAAGTTGGACCTTTCTCCAGCACATCATCGTTGCCCCGCCTTGCAAGTGTCGGGATGCCCTGCACTGCCCTTACTCTTCATTGGCTGAACCCCAGGTCGTGGCTCTAGGTCATCCAAACACGACCTTGGGGACTTCATATGCAATGACCATCCATCACCCATGATCATGAATGATCAGCAACAATTGGCAATAATATGCAATAATTGTCTTTTTCACCATTCCACCAGTTTCTTCATTGACAGCTGCACAAGCAACCCCAAGGGAGGCGTCAACATTCTGCTATATGCATGTGCAGCAATGGCAGCAATGGCAGCAATGGCAGCAATGGCAGTGGAGAAAGCAGATCCAAGTGGCGGGTTCTTCTCCACTTCGACTTCCTGTCAGCTACACAAAACGTGCTGCACTGTGTGGTTTCTCGCAGGAAGCCCACCTTGGAGGACTGTCCTTGGGCAACTCCCATCCTGCGGAAAGTGATTTGGGATGTGAAAGGTGCGATGTGCAAAGTCTGGCAACCCCGGGCCATCTTCAATAAATTCTGGCGGCACAAAGCAAGCTCCTTCGAGGTCCTTCTTCCTTGGACGGAGTCAGGTTTCTGTAAGCATATACTTGTGAAATCTGATAAAGCTCCTGGTGCCAATACCATTTGTCTGTCTCTTCATCCATGTCCTGTCACTGTGAGTTCACTTGTCACGCTTGCTGCCCAGCTTCTGGAAACGAGACCTGCACTATGTGGGAACAAGGTCCACCAAGCCGCATGAAGTAGTCACAGGCCTTGAGAATGTAGCAGTTGCAAGAGATTGCCTTTGCAAGTAATTGGCTCACCGGATAAAATCCATTCTGAAAACCAACCGTGACAGCATGACTCAGTTGCAGATGTTTTAGTGTTGCTTGGCCCTGCAAAAATTACGCGCATCGATATTCAAAAATGTATCCAATTCAGGCTAAACTGATTTGTGAATCGAAGTGCGTTGCTCACTCGTTGATCCAAGGATCAGCGGAACTATCGGTCCGTACGTACGCCGGGTCCTGTCTTGCAGAGACAGAGAGAGGCTAGTTACGGATAGGTTAGTGCAGCATAGTGCAGCATTGTAGACAGGCATTTCCAAGAGATCTTTGCAGCACCGAAGACTATGGCTGTCCTGAAGGACTGGAGGCGCGGACATGTTGCACCTTTCGAAAGGTGTATACAACTCTTCATCGCTGGACACATTCTCCTCCGGAACATTGAGGAACCTGAGCACACGAAAGAGTTGGAACTGTGGAGGCTTCAACCAGATTCAGTTGTTCAGTCATGTCCGGCCAAACCCGACAGGGCCGAAGGCGAAGTTAGGCCAAGGGGAGAGTGAAGAGAAAGTCATGGGTCGGTGTAGTCCTAATAGAAGTGAAGGAAACATGTCTTCGTATTCACTGCAGTATCAAGTTGCGTATTCTTCACAGTGCAGGGAGGATAAGGCTGCACCTCAAATTGCGGGCCGCAGGCATCTCTGAAAAAAAAAGGTTGCACCACAGGAAGCTTGTTGAAAACAGCATCTAAAAGTACATAGTGTTACTGTGTATACATGTTGTACTATAATATTATATATATACATCATATATTCTGTAAATCCATAGAATATGAAGGTAATTAGATAAAGAGCAGCATGTCTGTCTCTCCTTATATCTGATTCCCCAATCAACATTGCAGACACACAGGTGCACCTTGAAGTTCTGAAACTGGGACGCGATTTTGTCCATGTTGTGCTGGCTGCAAGTCACCAGCAGCAAACTGCTGGAAACTATATATCAGAACAGCCGGATTGAGGAACTAACTACATGATGATAGGTAGCCTCATGATTATCATGAGTATGGTTATCTTGTCTTTGCCAACATCTATTTTCGTCCATCTCCGAGCCAAAATGGTACAGTAGACTTCGCAAAGTCATGGGATCCCAGGGTATTGCTTGTCATGCACCGCAAAAGCAATCAGAGCACCGGCGGCATTTTCTTTGTGGAACTGTGCAGCTCGATACCCTGAGGTCAACTTGAGCACCAAATCTTGAGCACTATTCTTTGAACATATTCTGAGTGGATTGAAAAATGGGGCTTGAAACACAGTTTCGTTGAGAAGTGTTGAGTATCCCGGATGTATCGAAGTTTACATACAGTAGAGATCTGTAGAGTTTGAGGATTATATCATATCTTCTCTTATGCCTCTCAGCTTCGGCGTCGTCGATCTCTACTTCTGCCTCCCGGCACTTTCAAATCATCCAAATTCAAGAGATATTCAAACACACCGTTTGGATGATTTTGAATACATTCATTTTAAAGATCGATCATAATAAATCATGACGAATCATACCCTCTTGTTCACATCAAAATAGCCTGTAGAATGGATGTGTATCCCCATTTATCCCAAAATATTGCATTAAAAAATATGGATCCGCAGCATTTGCCTAAAATATCAAGAAAAATGCCAAGAACATGGGGTTTCCCAGGTCCTACACCTCGCCCATGGATCAACAGATTAAGGTGCACACTGCGGCGGCGCCGATCTCGACTGCGACTGCGGCTTCGCCCTCGAGCACGCATGCCTGAAGGCGCCACGAATCCATGGGTAATGGATATGAGTCAAATTGAAGCACCCAGCAAATCACAGATATATGTTTAAAAAAGTTATTGCTGATATCAACTACTATCAACTCATATACTTACTCATATCTATCATCCAATTAAATGTTGGAGAACCTTTACAAAAAAATGTCCATACTCCTTCGTGGCCTCTGCCAGAATCTATAATTTGCTTCAATACGTTCCGAGCTTGCCAACTGGTCTTCGGAATGTCTCACCGGTCTCTTGCATGCCAGATGCCTGTGAGAAAGTCTCGGCTTGTCCTTGCCCCAGGGCGTGTATTTGCGCTTCTTAAGTTCATTGATTTAGTTGGTGTTTGTGACAAACCGAGTGCTTTCAATGCCATCAAAGCGCTTTCAGATGCTTCCAAGTCTCATCTCCATGACATTTTCTCGAGGTTTCATTGGCTCAGGCGGTGGCCTAAGGGCAAAATACCAATTGGAGCCAGCACAACGAATCGAGCGGTTTGAGGATGTTTGAGGCATATTGTGGCGCAGTTGGCCTGCCACGATCAGGCTTCCAGTCTCCCTCCAGGATCATGCCATCCAGCACAATTTCTCCTTTCCTGGCTCGACTTCAACACACGACAAATGGAGGTTTCCTGAAGTTGGAGTACCCCCAAATCATCCATGTTAATGGGATTTTCCATTATACATGGGAGTAAACCATCCAGCTAGTGGGGTACCATTTGTGGAAACCCCCAGATGGAAACGAAAAGATCTAAAAGCAGCCGACTGCACTGTACTGGTCCTCAAAGCTTGATAAGCGCCCTGGGCAACTTCTCCACTAGCGTAGCGGACCACGGGTTTGTCAACGCCGCGTTGGCCCATATGGCAACCTACAACCTGGGTACAGAAAGGACTGTACGGACACAGTGTGAAATAGCTTACATTGCTGATGAGATCTGATGAGTGAGTGTGGCCATCCTCAACTCCAAAGTTGATCTCCTTTGATCAGAGACTGAAGAATGGAAATGATCATCGACCAGCCTCACCGAAACGCTCCATGGCCTTTTTGAGGTTGAGCCTTGTAGATCAAGCCATCAACAAAAGGACACAAGCAGCGTCCAGCCCCTGCCTGCTCGTCCGGTCGGTCGTACCGCCAGTGATTTCAATGGCGACCTTCTCCATCACCTGGATCCAGTGCTGCAGAGCTGCAAAATGCTGCAACTATTTATGGCTTCTCGCTTCAGAGTCCCCGGCCTCGTCCACATTGTTGGAGGGAAAGGCAAAGATGCTGGATATGACAGAAGAAATGATGAAGACTTGAACATGTTTCAGAATGTTTCGTGATGTTTTAATGGCAAAATTAGAGTATCAGTTCAACAGTGAGAGGACTCAATGGAGTTGGGTTCATTGTTGGACGGGAGTCGAGCCCTTGAAGTTGGACATGGAATCCTGTTCTTATCGGGCTTGATCTATCCCATCTTGAGGCACATCAGCTGCCAGTGCCGAGCAAATCCAACAGATGATTATCTGCCCAGCAGGTGTGTGTTGCTGCAAATCAACCACAGCCGTAGTTTGAGGGATGGAAGCATTGCTATCTGACTTTTCCGCGCGTAGTCGCACAAGAACATCCGTGGCAATGCACCCTTCAAGTCACTCAGTGACTCTTCATGTGCGCTGCAAATACATAACGCTTGCTACATTCGGAAAGATTCACAGAATCTGGCACTCAGATGCACTCAGCATAAAGTCCAGTCTGATCAGTCTGATCTCACTTCTTGGACAGGCCAAAGACCGTGTAGTACCTGCCGGTTGGTCCGGGTGTCTGAGCCAAAAAGTCTAACTGCCAGACTCAGCTGCACACGGGATGTCGGAGGCAACAAAAGTCATCAGGACTCGACCTGGCACATCTGCGCATCTCTGCTTCAACTTTCTAGTTACACCATCTACATCAGAATAATAGCAGGAACAAAGGGAAGAGGCTTTGCCTCAACACTGGGCAATCAACCTAATCAACCCTTACAAATAGGGTTATTATATGGTATTATGGTATTCCACTTTAATTTAATCCATCTGTATCCAAGCGTTGAAAACCCCAAATACCCACCAGCTGACGTTGAAGTCACCGGTTGGCAAGCCTTCTCCCACCGCGACACCAGAGACTGACGAAGCTTTGTGGGAAAGCCAAGGGAAATCCTGGCACATTGATGGAGGATATGTAGGTGAAGCCTCAAATTTGTGGGCTGTTTTTTTTCAACTTGATTCATATCCCCAAATATCATCAAATATCCCCAATACAGATTCCCAATCAAAGACAAAAGGTCCGCCTCACAGTTCTGAAGTTGCTGCCGGCCAGAGTTCCAAGCACAAATGCTTGTGATGGCACTTTTCTCACCTGTCAAAAAAGGAACCAGCGGTCATGTCAGGTAGCGGATTGACATTGATACGGAGGGAGCCTTGGTAGTAGGTCAAGGTGTATGGATCCGACCTCACAGGTGACACTCCCCGATCAAGCAGTTCAAACCTGCCCATTTTATCCCATTTTCCTGGCCCAGTTGGTGGTCCTGTGGCCCGCACGCTGAGTACGGCAAAGACAACATTGAGACGTAAGGCCTTTGATCGGTGCAGACTCTATGGCCATTTCTTGCATGTTCTGGGTGTCTAAGTTGAGAACGAGAATCCCTTCTGGAAGGTTGACGGATCTTCTACCACCTGGCAGAAGCATCTGCAATGCTCAAAGCCTCTAATGGAAGTGAGTTTGGCATCCAAAGCATGAGACTGACTGCTGCCTTCATTTTGTGGGTCTGGGGGTCAATGTCCAGAACTGCCAATTTGAGCTCCATCTTCCTGATTCTCAAGAAAACATACTGTATATACTGATATACTATTGTCCGCCAGCAATGCTCCGGACCAACTTGATTTCCTAGCGTTGATTTGATACCAATATTTTCTTATAGACAACTAGATGCAGATTGGATGCTGTGAACTTCAAACAGCAAAATCCAGCAAAATGGGCAAGTCGAGCATCGACGCATCTTGATACGCATAGGCCACGGTGTTTGGTGCGATAAGAGAAAGACCTCGAGCCCAAACCTGTCCCTTCTCAGGCTCCAGGTTTACCTCAACATCGGACTGAAATCTGCGATTCTATTTGTCTTCGTTGATGTTGATTCCTCTTGACTCTTCGTCTTATTCTATTATCTTCTGTTTTTCTCAACTCTTCTTGATTCTTGCCGATTCTTCTTGATTCTTCTTGGTTTGAGGTTGTCCAGTGCCATCCCGTGTTCTGAGATCTCAACTGGATTTGGGTCAAAGACAAGGTCTTCACCAACCAGCTCGCCATACATTGCCATTGCCTGTCCATAGTCCCACAGTCGCATCAAAAAAGCACTAAGTCACTTGACAAGAATTTGGTCTGGATCCGAAATCTTCTGGCCAGAATCTTTCACACATATCTGATTTTCAAAACAAGTCAACACATCATCAGATCATATCAGATCCAGATTGATCCAGGTACCCGGAGTTACCCGACCTCCTGTTCGACAGAAGCTTTGGGGTTCATGTCATCTGTTGCAGGAGATGCCCGAGCAGCCTCAGGAGTTGCGGTATGTAGCTGTGGGTCACTCCTTACATTGGTTATATAGATGTGTACGCAAAGTACAATCATATGTACATGTGTATATCTACATGTGTATGTGTATGTGCAGTATATTCACGGACATTCGATATGTAGTATAGTATATCAAAAGCACTAACAGTATATTTATTGAAATAATAATAATATACATATACGACAAAAAATCGCCACATGTCATGCATTCTTGGGACACCCTGAGAGTCAGGCCAGCACGAAGCCATTCTTGCTGACTTTTGTCGTCTGGGCGAATCTTCAGGACTTAGTCAACAATCCTGTAGTACTATGTGTATATCCGCCGACCCCTGCCGACAGCAGGGGGAGCGCGTCAGAGAAGAGATTACAAGCAACAAGTGTTGTGCAGTGCAAGTGAGGGGCAAGCGAGGGGGGGACAGAAAGGGAAGCCAGGTGCAGAGTAAGAAGCCCAAAAAAGGAAGCGAGAAAGGAGGGGCAGTCTCAGCGAACGTAGCGGGGCAAGCGAGGGGGGGACAGAAAGGGAAGCCAGGTGCAGAGTAAGAAGCTCAAAAAAGGAAGCGAGAAAGGAGGGGCAGTCTCAGCGAACGTAGCAAGCGAAAGAAGCACGAAACAA